AAGATCAAAAATCCACAATCAAGAAGAAGGATTAGAGCAATTAAATCAAAAAACAAGACAATCAAGATTATGGATCAAGAAGCAAAATCATGATCAAGAACTCAAGAACCAAAAGAGACAATAATAAAGATTCAAGATTTGGTATTAAGCATCATTTCCAAAAAATTAAGGTATGTTCCGCATTATTAATTTTCTTGTTGATTTGAAATGGAGGATTTTGGCAATTAAACAATTAACTTTTCCAGTTTTATGAAGTTTAAAATTTCATAAATTTTCAACAAATGGTATCAGATACAACACCATGTTAAACCATTGAGATTAAAGAAAGAATTTTAGGGTTAAATTTCAAGCTTTGGATTTTTTAATTTTGGAATGTGAATTTTATCCCTAAATTGAAAATTTTGGATATTGGGAAAATTTTAACTAAAATTGATTGTTGAATTAAGCTTTTTGCATTATGTGTATCTATTATGGCAATGTAATTGAATGAATAAAAAAACACATTTGAATTAATTATGATAAATTTCCTTGTGACACATTGATGGCCAAATGTGTGGCCATATTTTCCAAATTCTTATTAATGGACATTAAATCCATCCTTGAATTAAGTGGATTTGGGCGTCGTGGAGTAATTTTTTAATGGGAAGGAAAACAAGATTTATAGTTGCGGCGATTGCGGGGGCAATTGCTATTCGGCACAGTAGTGCTCACTTCCGAGTGCTGAATTGCTGTTTTTTATTATTATTTTGTGAAAACAAAAGAAGGAAAAAAATTAAGCCCCTATTTGTCATCCTTTAAAATTTTAAGTTGTTTGGCTGTTTGCTACAATACAATTCTACACACATTCACAAAATAAAATATTTTACACACAAATCAATAAAGTTTCCTACTTTTTAACTACACATTTTCCATCAATTTACTATTCTATAACACGTTATAAGAAATTAATGGCTCTCGAACAAGGCCTAAAAGACTAAGGGGCAATCAAATTTCAAATCTTGGAACTAAAATTTATTTCGGATTACTAATTTTCTAAAATAGATTAATTGAAACAACATGTTACCAAAGTAACTTCTCTTACCTAAATTAATTTATTTGGAATATTAGAAATGTTGTGTGTACGTAATTCATGCGGGTATTGACCGGCCCAAATGAAGGTTAATATTTGGACGAATTATTTACACACGTGTGGTGATAAATATGTGACAATTATAAAAATTTTCATTATGTGAACATTGAGTCTATCCAAAGATAGATTTGATATTTAACCGGATTTATTGTCAATATTTGGTTACTACACTAAGAGTACCACTTACAAGTTGGTATTTCTGTCCAAAAACTAAATATCGATGTTGTGCTCGGTCTCTTGTAATGGGTTCATCATTATTTGAAATTATTGATTGTCCAATTCAAATTCTTATGTGAACATGTTATTTAGGTTTAAGTTCTCTATTCGCTTCGGTTCGGTTCAAAATAAATAGTGAAAGCCTGAAAAAGATAAATCTGACTGTTACTTTTGTAAAAATTTGGGACACATGAAGAGAGACTGTATTAAATATCACGCTTGGCATGTAAAGCAAAGTAAACTTCTCACTTTATTTGTTTTAAGGTTAATTTAGTTTCAATATCTAGACACGCTTAGTGAATAAAATTCTGGTGTCACCAGTCACATATGTGCGTCTATGCGAGGTTGCCTGAACAACCAAAAGTCAATTGATGCAGATAGATTTGTCTATGTAGGGCAATGGCTAATCAATTAAGCTTGAGGCTATAGATACTTTTAAGTTATTATTAAAGGCTAGTTATGATTTGAATATGAAAGAAATATTTGCGGTATCATCTTTTAGACGAAATTTAGTTTCTATTTCAACATTGGACAAATTTGGTTACTTTTGTTCAATTGAAAATAGTCAGTTTGATCTTTTTCTTAATTCAAATATTGTGGGTACTAGTTTCTTATCTGGTTACGAAAGCATATATTTGCTTAATAATGTTGTCTCTTATAAAGAAACATTGCATGTGAATTCACGTGGTATTAAACATAAATTAACCATGAAAATTTCGCTTCGTTATGGCACAAGCGATTAGATCACATCTCTCAAAAGATGATGAAAATCCTTGCGTCAAAAGGAATTTCGGATCCCCTTAATTTTCTGACTTAAGTGTTTATGTTAATTACATTAAAGGGAAACAAATAAATATAAGAAAATTAGGTGCCAACAGAATTTCAGATGTCTTAGAACTAATTCATATGGATACTATAGGCTATTTCATTCAACTTTTTGGAATAATCAACAATATTTTATTATGTTTATAGACTAATTTTTCTCACTATGGCTACCTATATCTCATTTATGAGAAATCTCAAACACTGGACATATTCAAAGCATATAAGACTGAGATTGAACATCAACTCAGTAAAAGAGTTTAACAAGCCAGATCTTACCATAGTGGTGAATACTATGACAAATCTGACGGATCACGAGAACAATGTACAAGGCTTTTTGTTAAATATCTAGAGGAATGTGGAATCGTCCCTCACTATATCAGAATCTCTCTAGGTAGAAGCATTAAAAACTATAGCTTAAATTCTCAACAAAGTTCCAAGTAAAACAATTAATAAGGGGCTACAATTTTTTTTCAAAAGATTCCACTATTAGGTCAATTTTCGAAACGAAAAATGTCTGATTCTTTGAAGATGTAGAGTTTTCGAGGGAGATAAGGTTAAGAGTTTTTTCGTGGATGAAGAATATGCATATATTTTTTCCGTTGCAATTGACAATAATCAGGACCATGGACAAATTCTTGCTCTAAATCTTGATCAAGAAGCAATTTCGGATCAACTTTATAGTCTTTTCCCAAGAAAATAAGGATGCGCGTGGATTGATGGAAGAAGTACTGGTCAATCAGCTTTCATCAAACTATGCAAAAGAATAATTCTAAATAGTGGATTGATGTCATGCATAAAGGAGATAAAGTTCATAAGTAACAATAACGTTTGTGGACTTATCATATTATCTGAAAGTGTGAAACACATTGAATGTAATTGGATATTTAAAAGCAAGAGGGATTCAATGGTTGATGTGAAGAGATATGAAACCCGTCTTGTTGCAGATAGCTTTACTCAAAAGGAAGGCATTGGCATTAACAAGACTTTTTCCTCAGTTTCCATGAAAGACTCTTTTAGGATAATTATGACATTTGTGAACTACGTCAGATGACTTACAAATTAAAGAAATTCATCTATAAGCTTAAGCTGATTTCTTGTAATGTATCACAAGCATCAAATAATTATATCATTTGATTTTGAGATTAATTCAGTTGGTGAATGTGTATATCACTAGTTCAGTAAGAGTAAGCATGTCGATGATATACTGCTTGTCTGCAATGATATAAGTTTATTACACGAAATCAAGATATTTCTGTTATGTAATTTTAAATGAAAAATTTTGATGACGCCTCTTTTGTATTAAGGATATAAATACATATGGATCGTTGTCGGTGTATTTTTTTTATTATCACAAAAAAGTTATATCGATAAGGTTCTTAAGAGATTTGAGATGCAGATATATAAATCAGTTAATACCCCTATTGCTAAGGGAGACAATTTTAGTTTCAATTAATGTCCCAAGGATAAACTTAAGTAAAGGAAAATACAGAAAATTCCCTATACTTCAGCAGTTGGGAATTTAATGTATACTTATTTGCACACATCCGGATATAAATTCATTGTTGGAATGTTAGACATATATTTAATTAACTCTGTGATGGAAATTTGAAAATCAGTCATTAGGTTATTCGGTATCTATAGAAAACTAAGGATTACATGATCACATTCAGAAGAACAGACCAATTGAAGATCATTGGATATTCTTATTGTGATCATAGAATATGACTGCAAAATATTGTCACTAGACTGCATATTTTTGATTGATTTGAAAGACCACTTTAGTTATTCTGTAACAATAGTAGTATTGTACTCCAACAGGAGCCTGATGATGTCAACGTTTATAAATATTAAGTTCCTAGTTGTCAATGAAAGAATTCATGGTGATCAGGTTTATATGAAGCATATTATGACAAATCTCATAATCATGGATTCATTTACTAAATGGTTACCACTCAAATCTTTCATGAGCGCAATACTCACGTAGGTGTTGAATCTTTTGATGATATGTCAGTTTAGTGAGAGTTCGTATTCAAATATTGTCTGTCTTAAATACATATTTTTATCCATGGATATTCGATTTATTTCAAAAATAAAATATTCAGTTCAATTTCACTCTGATTAAAGTTTATGGTTGATCTCATTAAAGAATAAGGTATGACCGGTTGGAAATAGGCATATTTGGATCATATTACATGTAATTTTCATGCTACACATCAATACTTGATCTTGTCATTTGATTGTGTTGATATACGTGATCACTGATTGGTTTAGTTATGATACTTATAACGAAGGCCACTTTAATCATATATTGATATAATCAAAGAACGAGATTGTTCGGAGATGCTTCGGTTAGATAGCAAAAGTTTTGACGTCATAAGCATATAAACATTTATAAGATAACATATGTGGCCCAAGTAGGAGATTGTTGGGTTTATTAATTTGTCATGTGGGCCTATATATGTAATTAATTGTGGGGAAAATTAGGCCCTATACCCTTTTTTAAAAAGTGTTCTGATTAATACCCTTAAACTAATTAAACATTTTAAGAAAGTATTAAATACGTCCTAAACCTCCTAATTAACTCCAACCAAAACCCAACCTGATTAACAACAAGAAACCCAAACCATGAAATCCCACCTTCCTCATCAGAAATGCTTCCTCTCCCATTGTAGCCCCAAATCTCCATAGGCGAAATTACGAGCAAAATTCGAGCAAATCCAACTGTAAATCTCCCAATCCAGAGGTCTTCTGTATTCTCTTTTGAGGTTTAAATATTTGTAAGTTGTTCTCCCATTCCTTTCTCTCACTATAAGATAATAAAGCGAAAACCATGACTGATGACGAGGAGTGGGTGGAAGCAGCCATGAGTGACGATAACATGGTGGTGCAGCTGCTGCTACGGCTCAACCAGTATTACCCGAGGCCGTTGGCTCCTTTTAAACAGATGGCTTTGCCGCTTGAGTGGAGCGTGCGTCAACGCAGGTCTAAGCCTGTTGCAGTTGACTCCGCCTTGAAACCGGTTTTCAGAGGCAGCCATACAACGCCACTGTCATGCAACAGTGCCACCTCTATCAGTGGCGGCTGTGTTGGAAGTGCTGGCACAGTTGACGGTAACTCTGAAGAGTCAAGCCGATCCTCTGATCCGAAACTCTCCAAACCCGCGAGATCTGAGGTTTTTACTTGTGAAATGTTTCCATATTTAATATTTCTCAGTTGTTAACCATGAGTTTCAACTTTCTATGGCATCAATGTTTACTCATCCGCTGGGTGGCGATGGCGATTCAGTAGCTCGGCAGGGTTAGTTATTTTTTACCGTTCATTAGAGTCTCATGAGTATTCGATACTCACTTGTCAATCGATGCTTCAAATTTTTTTCACCGTTCATTAGAGGTTGAACCTTTGGGTTTGGGAAGATGAATTAGAGTTAGGATGGTGGGTTATGGTGTAGAATCGAATTTCTGTAATAGAGTTGGTGGGTGTGGAACCATCTGTGGATTGAAGGGGTGTGGTGGCAGTGTACTAATTTGGGTGAGAAATGTGGTAGCTGTGTGGTTTGTTGGCGACTTGGAGCTACCAACGACAATGCACTGGTTCTGGTTTTGGTGGAGGATTGGGAGGAGGTGCAGATGGAGGAGGTACCGATGACAATGCACTGGTTCTACATCTCTTGGTTCGGGGACTGCCATGTCTTTTAACTTTTGTTACTTTTCTGTATTTATGTTTTAACTGTGTAAAGATTATGATAGTGAAATGCAATTTGTAGTTATCATCCAACGAATCTTGTATGGGGTGTTTGCATATTTATGTTTTCTATGAGTAATCTTCTTGTAAATCAACATTTGCAGAATGGTTTTGGTAATCAAGATTTCTTAGAGAGACACTTATTTTTGTTTTTTAGCATTTTTATTGAATTTTGGTTGGAAATTAGAGAGAGAATTGGGGGTTGGGTGAGAAGAAGAGTTGTGAATGAATGGTTTGTCACTTTTTCGTTTGGTGTTTTGTCACTTTTTCGAATGTTTGCAGTTTTTTTTTAACTTTTGTCACTTTTTAGAACGTTTTGTCACTTTTTTTAAATTCATGTCATTTTTTAGTGTTCACTTTTTTCTATCACATTTTATATTGTTTATCACTTTTTTTCTATCACTTTTTAAAAATTTGTCACTTTTTTGTAACAAACATCACTTTTTAATCAGCATATTGATTGGTGCTATTTTGGTATTTGTCACTTTTTTTGAATTTGTTTCACTTTATAAGAGTGTCACTTTTTTTTTTAGTTTTGTCACTTTTTTTTTAGGTTGTGTCACTTTTTTTATAAAAAGTAAAAAAGTGAAAAAAGTGACATTTTTTATAAAAAAAAGTGACATCATGTCACTTTTTCATTTTACACAGTATTTTTTACTTCTTAAAAACCTTTCACATGATTTTTCAAAATATCAATAATTTTAAGGGTATTTTTGTAAGTACCTCTTAATTGTGTATAAGGTTATCTTAAAGTTGAGTCCAATTAAAGTGATCTAATAAAGAATTAAATTCTTGGGTTTATGACATCTAAATAAAGTGTGGGCCAGATTATATGTGTAGAAACCAGATCCATTAGGATTGTATTTGATGATGGGCCAAATACATATGGAAACTAGATATAGAGTTATGATCTCTAATTCATATGCAACTTCTTATTCTTTGTATCATCTCATTAACACAATAATACAAGAGAAAATATACTGAAGAAGAAGATCCAAAACTCACGATCAAGAAATGGATTGGAGCAATTATATCGAAAAACAAGACAACCAAGATTATGGAGTAAGAAGCAAAATCAAGATCAAGAACTTAAAAACCAAAAGAGCCAATCATCAAGATTCAAGATTTGGTATTAAAACATCATTCTCAAAGAATTAAGGTATGTTCCGCATTATTATTTTTCTTGATGATTTGATATGAAAGATTTTGACAATGAAACAATTAGCTTTTCTAATTTTATAAAGTTTAAAATTTCATAAAGATTCAACATTATCTAGTGTTATATTTCATCACATGTCAGCATTTGAACTTTTAATGAAATTTCACATGGTTCACGAAACCTTATCTCAATTGGATCACATGTCATTTTCTAATTGATGGTAATTTCTTAATGGATCTTTCGTGTAACGCTCGAGGAACATCAAATTTCCACAACCTCCACATAAATAAAGCGTTTAGATAGAAAAAGATGCATTTTACCTTAATCTAAACATTAATATAATACCTGTATTACCTTTTTCATTTCTAGAGTACCATGTAGTTACATGAAATATCAATTACAGTATCGTTGCTAAGCAATTTTGACTAATTTGGGGATGATAGTTGACAACGTGATGAGATTTGAAACTAAATTGAGAGCCTGTTTGGTAGGGATTTTTGAAGGAAAAATTGATTTTTGAATAGTGATATGATGGGAAATTTGTGGTTGAAAAAGAAGAAAAAAGTATTGATTTGATAGAAAATATTATTTTATTGAAAAATGTGTGGTTGAAAATGAGAATTAATTTACTGTATTTGGTAAAGATTTTTGGGGGAAGAATTGATTTTTGAATAGTGATATGATGAGAAATGTGTGGTTGGAAAAGAAGAAAAAAGTATTGATGTGATGGAAAATATTATTTTATTGAAAAATATGTGATTAAAAATGAGAATTAATTTGAGAATCAGAAACAAACAGGGCTAAGTATCATCCAAATCTTTTCTAAAATTCTTGGTAGAACATAAAATGATGACGTTATGTAGAATTATGGATCATATTCCACGGATTGCCACTTGCCCACTTTATGGACAGTAAAAAGTACAAGTAAAATTTTTTTTATATGTTAGAGCAGAAATAACACCAAATAATTCACAGGTTTCTTATTTTGAATAGTGATTAATCTAACGCATTCAACAACGTGTGAATAACAATTAACGTAGGTCACATTCAAGGGCTCTAGTAGCATTACCAGTCTCCTCATAAATGTGAATTGCTTTTTATTGTTTCATTTTAATGTGAGAACTGTTGGAAAATAGGATTTAATAATTTTGTGTATATGTAATAATTTTGCTGAAATAGAAAAATACATAGGTATTTTAAGAATTACCCTTTTAGGCACCGTTTGATAACCATTCTTTTTTTCATTCTCATTCTTCTACTAATTTTCAACCACACATTCCTCAATAAAATAATATTTTCCATCACATCAATAACTTTTCCTTCATTTTCAACCACAAAAAATGTGTGATTTGACACAAAGAATACATTTTTTTCTGGAATAATGGTTACCAAACGGTGCCTAAATAAAATATGAAGGGAAATCAATAAATGTTTCTTGAGAAAAATAAAATGAAAAGCCAAATAAAGAAATTAATGGAGTGA